GGTCACATTGCGCATGTTGTCAGTGAGGCGTTTCTGGACCTCGCTGAGACGGAGGTCAACGATCTTGCGGATTTCGCGTCTAGTGAGACGGTTGAAGATGACGATGCTGGAGATGCGGTTGAGGAATTCAGGCAAGAAGTAGTCGCGGAGGGCACCCATGACCAGCTCGCGCGTGGCGGGTTCGATGCGGCCGTCCTTGGCGGCAGGGCGAGCGAGGAACTCGGCTCCGAGGTTGGAAGTCATCACCACAATGCAGTTCTTCGCGTCGACGATTCTGCCCTGTCCGTCGGTGATACGGCCATCATCCATGAGCTGAAGGAGGACAGTCAGAACCTCCTTGGCAGCCTTCTCGACTTCATCAAACAGTAGAATGGAGAAAGGCCGGCGACGGAGGCTTTCGGTAAGCTGACCGCCAGCGTCGTGGCCGACATATCCGGGGGGTGCTCCAATCATGCGGCTCAGAGAGTGCCGTTCTTGGTATTCGGACATGTCGAACCGGATCATGGCCTTGGGATCATCAAAGAGGAACTCCGCCAAGGCCTTGGTGAGGAGCGTCTTACCCGTTCCCGAAGGACCACAGAAGAGGAAGCTGGGCGGCGAATTAGGGTTGCTCAGACCAGATCGTTGTAGGCGGATAGCGTTGGAGACCGATTGCACGGCCTCCTTCTGACCGACGACCACCTTGCCAAGATGCTTCTCCATGTTCAGCAGCTTGTCCTTTTCGGTGGTCTTGAGACGAGTGACGGGGATACCGGTCCAGCGGGCCACAATTTCGTTGATCTGGTCCGGGCCGACGGCATCTGCCAGCAGAGCCTCGCCCGCATCGCCCTGGCGAGTGCGTCGCTCCTCGTCGGCCTTAGCGCGGTCGATTTCCAGTCGTTCGATGAGTTGCTTGGTCTCGGGAATGGCATAGTACTCCAAATCGGCGGCGGTCTGGGTATCACCGGAGCGCTCGGCCTCGTCACGCTTGACCTTGAGGGAGTCGAGCTTCATCTTCGCTTCTTGGATAGCCTTGCTGCGCTGCTTCTCGCTTTCGTACTTCTCCCGCAAGGGACGGAGCTCTTCTGCGACATTAGCAGCCTCCTGCTTGGCCACTTCCAGGCGAGCCTTGGAGGCATCGTCTTTCTCGCGCTCGAGAGCGTGAATTTCGATCTGTAGCTGACGGAGTCTTCGTTCAAGGTTATCAAGTGCTTCGGGCTCGGATTCACGGGTGACCCGAACAGCAGCAGCAGCCTCGTCGATCAAATCGACAGCCGAATCGGGAAGACGACGAGCTGTGAGATAACGAGCGGCAAGTTCGGCTGCAGAAACAATGGCGCCATCAAGAATGTTGACACCGTGGTGCACTTCGTACTTCTCCTTTAAGCCACGCAAAATAGAGATGGTTTCGGGAACCGTGGGCTCCTTGACCAAGACCTGCTGGAACCGACGTTCGAAGGCCTGGTCCTTCTCAATGTACTTTCTGTATTCGCCCAATGTGGTAGCACCGATGCAGTGCAGTTGACCACGAGCCAGCATGGGCTTGAGCAGGTTGGCGGCGTCCATGCCACCCTCACCACTGGAACCTGCGCCCATTAGGAGATGGATCTCGTCGACGAACAAGACGATAGTGTCCTTGGATTCTTCGATCTCCTTCAAAACGCCCTTCATGCGCTCCTCGAACTCACCACGGTACTTACTGCCGGCAACGAGAGAACCGACGTCAAGGGAGAGCAAACGGCACTGGGCCAAGTTGGCAGGAACATCGGCATTGACGATCCGACGCGCCAGGCCTTCCACGATGGTGGTCTTACCAACACCAGGCTCACCGATGAGCACCGGATTGTTCTTCGTGCGCCGACTAAGGATACGGATGACACGTCGGATCTCTTCCTCTCGGCCAATAACGGGATCGATCTTTCCTTCTCGAGCCAGCGAGGTCATATCGATGGTGAATTTCTTCAGGTTCTCATTTTCGCTTTCTGCGTCTGCGGTCTTGGAGTCGACTCGCTTCGTGCCACGGATCTGTTGTACGGCACTGTCGATCAACTTGACATTAGGGATGTTGGCGTCTGCTAGAGCGCGCTGAACTTGGGAGTCTTGAGCGCAGGCGGTGATGAGGTGGTCAATGGCGACATAGCTATCCTTCTGGGTCTTGGACAAGTCGCTAGCAGAACGGAGGACCTTGGCCAGTGCGGGCGAGACGCTGACGGTCTCTGGAGGTGGGTCTTGGCTGGGCAGGCGCACAAGAAGCTTCATAAGGGAGCGTTCGAGAAGTTGGGGATCGCCGTGGGCGCGTTCGATGACTTGACGGAAGAGAGGAGCGGAGGCAGTGTCGTGGGATGGATGGGCGGTAGCTTGTTGGTCTTTGGACTCATCTGGAGAGGGGTTCAGGAGGGAGACTGCAAGGTGAACGGGAAGAATCTGTGAGTGTGAATATTGTTCAGCCAGGCTGCTGGAGTCCAGCAGAGCCTTGTTGGCTTTGTCTGTAAACTGAGCACCGTTCATGGTGTGAAAGTGGGGTTGTGATGTGCGGGAAACGAGGTATCAGGTGGTGGTAGTAGTAGGTGAGAGTAGGTGTACAGAGGGAGGAGGGAGGAGGTATAACGAGGAGAAATATCTCGTAAGGCAGATATTAGCGATAGCAGGTATTAGTGGTCGTATTCTCTGCTTTGAATCTGTAAAAGGCGAGTGACAGACACGATGGAGGGTCGGCACGGAAGGTGAAGATATAGAAGCTGGTCAGGCATCGCCGGCTTCCCGCCATGACGACACGGCCCGCTTCCACCGCCTTCCAGAAACACCGCGGCCTTGCTCGCTGCTGCTGGATGTCACGTGCCGGCTCCGGAAGGTCCTGGATTGCCAGCCTGGCCCATCAGGCCATCAGGCCACCTGGATCAGGTGATCTGGACCCTGATCACTTAGTGATTTAGTGATGTAGTGATGGCAATGACAAAGACCAACGGAGTCATCTTCCCTCTCCGGATACTTCTCCTTGTCTCTATTTCTATTCTCTTACTCAATAGTTTCGAACCTGACAGGACCTCTCTCAAGTCTCAATCAACCCCACCAGCATCATGAGCCGTCTGTCGCACGAGACAGTAGTAACGCCCCCCACGTTGGAGAGCCGTCATCGTGATTGGCATGTCACGTATGGTCTGGCCGGGATTAAACTACATTAGAGTTACTGAGTCAAGCCGGACACATCATTGACTACCAGTTTCAAAGAATGCTTTGCTTACATCCGAGGTTAGTCCGAAAATACATGTCCGATGAAATGAGAAAAAAAAATGTTTCCAGAGTATACGCGAGCGAAGACAACTAGCTAGCAAGGCGGCCATCAGCTAGCAGCAACAGCAACAGAGTCTGCATTTTCCTTGCGCAAGATTATCCACCTCGTTCATTCTTAGGTGGAGTCTCACGACAACACTCCCATACTCTACACGATACTGTGATTGATTCTGAGAACTTGTGCAAGAAAAAAAAAAGGAAAAAAAAAAAAAACTACTCAGAGACACTTCTCGCGGGGCATTGAGACCCTCCCCCTAATTGTCCAACTTTTCCTTGTCTCTTCTCTTTCGCTCTTTCTTGAGACTGACTGCAATTCCCCCCCCCTCTCCCCCCGCTTCTGGCTATGGAGAAGACAGCCATGGAAGGACCGTTTCCAGGCCTTAGCCCGTGACGTCAAAGAGTGGGCATCTCCGCCTCTTAGACTCTCCTCCTCCTTGTGTCCACTGGACCGCCACAGGGATTGGCCGCTGAGCGGCTGAGGAGTTTCCCACTGGCTACAGTACCTAGTCTACGATGCCCAACAGGGAATGACCAACCGTGCGCCAGGAACGGGGAACCTCCGCGATCGGGCGGGCTGGGCAGTGGGCATGATCCATCCATGGCCACCGCGCGCCTTTGTGGCTCAACCCTGAACCTGGGCTTCAGGCGAATCGAATCCAGGGCAGATAAGCCATAGAGTTTCAATACCGAGGGGAAAGGAAGTCATTTCTCTTTGAAAGCATGCGGGATTATTATTGACTTTATGCCTTGCATTATTCCATTATCGCTATCACCCACGCGCATTCCTCCCCTCGAGACGTCTGCGGGATTAACCGAACAGCACTCACTCAGAACTGCCAGGCAAATTTCCACCGCTAAGAACTGCGTTGAGCTATCCTACTAGAAGTGCGCCAAGAGGGACTGGATGAAGAAAGGCATACACTACTCGCTGCACTAAATGGTTCGGTCTTCGTTGAGATGAAATGATGGAGCAACTAGGTTATATTCAAGTCTTACTAACCTGCTAATTAAAATAGCACAGGAAACAAAGTGGATTAGAATAGGCTCGTAGTACGAGTCCGCCGCCGGCCAGCTCTATCGGGGGACGATCCACGGGTCAATCTGCCCGGTTTCACTCGAATTCCTCTCGTTCCTCGTTCGCTGGTGGGCAGCTTCCAGTCCTCCAGTATGACTGAGTAAATTTTCGTAAGCCTAAACAGCAGTAGTTAAGTTAGTACCTGTTGCTCTCGCCTGTTGAATGGCTTGATCGATTCAAATCGATTGAAGTCGGATAATAAATTGTTGTTGTTGACTGACACATCCCAAGCCAGTAGGTATAAAGCCCGCCAGCCCTCATTCTGGTTTCCCCTCCTCCTCCTCCTTCCTTCTTCCCTTTCTCCCTCTCTCTCTCTCTCTCTCTCTCAATCAACTTGCAGCCTGGAAGGAATCCTCCCAACTAAACTGTGACTGCAAAACTGCTTGAATAGGGTTCGCCCAAGCATAACCTACACTATCCCACCCACCTCGGAATCCAGTAAATCGGACGAGAAAAACAGGGTGCTACATCCCATAATCCCCGAGTACCTACGCCAGTGGTGAAACTCCCTGGTCGATAGATTTTGTACTTGAGTTTTTTGACGGGGAGGAAATCTGAAAAACCGATTTCCCAGCGATCGAACCGATCACCAGCCCCAAAAAAAGGGTTATCGTGTTTATTATTCGACCATCGACCGGAAGAATACTCCGTCACGATGTCGCAGAAGCCCATCTTTGTGGCTACTCACCCCCGGGCGTGTTCCACGGCCTTTGAGCGAGTATGTTGTTCCCTGCAACTCCTCCTCCCATCCCACCACCTCTTTTTCTGGGTTAGAACATCTCGTTAATCTCGTTTGCATCAGGTCTTCATGACTCAGCGGGATACCATCCAGTGTGTCCACGAGCCGTTTGGTGATGCCTTCTACTATGGACCGGAGCGGTTGTCGACCAGATTCGCCGACGATGAACAGGCCCGTCTGGACAGCGGATTCAGCCAGTCGACGTTCAAGACTGTCCTGGATCGCATCGAGCGCGAATCATCTGAGGTCCGACCCTTTTCCTTGCCTGCTTTGTTTCCTCCTCCCTTCTTCTCTTTCCCTTTTGTCCCTAGCACTTTGCTCCCTCCCCTTCGGCCATCGTAGTTTGAGATCGTCGAGAATCCGTTCGGATGAGGGCTCGGTCTGCCAAGTTGGAGAAAACCGGGGAAAACGCAGAAGCAAAATCCTGTTTTCCGTTGTGATGCATCTACAAGCATGATTCTTCCGTGTCTGCATGTGGATCACCTGCGAGTGTTTCCCCTTCACGCCCAGGGAGATAAACCACGGGATCAACAGAATGGACTGATGAGCATCAGCCCAGCCTGTTCTTCCTGCCCTAAAGTCTTCTGCCCCATGTGTTCCGAGACATCCACACGTTCACCGTTCCACAAACCTAGCAAGATACTTACCCCACAAACACAGGGCAAACGCGTCTTCATCAAGGACATCATCCACTACCTCCTGCCGCCGCACGGCCAACCGGCCAGCATCGCGCCATCGCTGCACCGGATCAAGCGCGGCGTAGGCACGGAGCAGCCGGAGGCGGAGGCGCCGAAGGCGACGCCGTACCCGTACGCGACGGAGGCGGAAGCCGGCAACCCGACCGTGATGCCGCGGGCGCTCCTGTCGCAGTTCCACTTTGCCTTCCTCATTCGCGACCCGCACTACAGTGTGCCGTCGTACTACCGCTGCACGATCCCGCCGCTGGACGCGGTGACCGGGTTCCAGAACTACGACCCCGCGGAGGCCGGGTACGACGAGCTCCGCCGCACGTTCGACTACCTGCGGGACACGCGTCTGGTCGGCCCGCGGGTCGCCACGCACGAGCCCGACGAGACGGAGCAGGACTCCTCATCGGCCGCCTCCTCGCGCCCGTCGTCCTCGGCCTCCTCCGCCAGCATGACCGGCCGGAGCAGCGGGAGCCGGGAGGAAGAGATGGCCGAGATCTGCGTCGTCGACGCGGACGATATGCTCGACAACCCGGCCCCGATGATCGAGGCCTTCTGCCGCAGCGTGGGCCTCAAGTACGACCCCTCGATGCTGTGCTGGGATACCGAGGCCGACCATGCGTGCGCGCGGGCCGCGTTCGAGAAGTGGCGCGGATTCCATAACGACGCTATCGAGTCGACGGGCTTGGTGGGCCGGAAACATGTCAGTATTCTCCCTTCTCATTCCGTTCACTGTCTCTCTCCCACGTCCCGTCTCGAAACATATCCAGAAAGGGATATGGCAAGCTGGAGGGAGTCACAAGAATACTCACCACCTACGTCTCTCCCCTCACAAATACCCAAACCCATTCAATAGGTGCAATTGCAGTCCCCGAAACTAACACCCCAAATCCAGCCCCGAGCCCAGAAGACCGAGGCCCAATTCGACGCCGAATGGCAGGAGAAATACGGGCCCGAAGGCGCCGCCCTCATCCGCAAGACCGTGGATGCCAACATGGCGGATTATCTGTATCTGAAGAAGTTCGCCATGAAGGTTTAAGCAAAAGAGCTTTCCCGTAACCTACCTTAATCCATCATTAAGGGGGTGGAAGAGGAGGGTTGTGAACGAAAACGAGGAGAAAGAAAAGATAAAACCCGCGGTGTGGGAAATTGCAAGAGCAAAACCAGGCGAACCGGGGGAAAGGGGAGGAAAGGAGCTCATCGTAATTATGATCGATCTGTCTTCTTCTTTCGGAATCCCTGGTTTCGATTGTGTGATCATTCCCCGCCTTGATTGACGAACATTGACGATATCTTAGCTCTGATGACGCGATTGGGATGTGCATACGATCTGCATAAGTACTACATGTCGATGGATTGATGATCTTGGGCTTGTGTTTGATTTGTTTGATTTGTTTGTACTTTGATTTTCACCGGCACTGCACTGCACTTGTCAGCTATGGTTTGCGACGAAAGGGTCTGGGAAATTGCTACCGTCACTGTTGAGGATTTTGAAGCTTAACTTTTCTCTTTGGAGGAGGGATCTTGATTAAGGGAAATTGATACCTATTTATTCTTGTGATAGTCTGTGGTAACTATTGTGAGTTATGGTCTATTCGTATGGTAGTGGGTGGTGCCTTGAGAGTCTGCACATCAACGGCCTCGCTGTGCTCCTTCACTTTTACTCAACAGTATCCAGCAAGGGGCATGTACACCCATCATCATGATTAACTGTCTCGTGTATCAAAGCAATAAAGCTAGCCATTTGTATCATATTCCAAAGTTTCTAATTCACCACAACTACCGCCCCACCACACAAGGACGTCCCTGCCTAAGTATGGAAGTACGCCTGGAATCCGTCCGTATGCCGGCTACTCAACCAGAACCCACGCTTTCTCGCACCACATCTCCCAACTTCCTTCAATACAAAACGTACAGAAATAGACAACCTTCTAAACCGCACTGTAGCCGCCTCGTGACCCCGACCCTTGCAACGTGTTGACCACCCGACGGACCCAATCCTGGAAGATGTAGGGGACATCGCGCAGCGTGTCCCCGTGCGGGAGAAGATCCCACCCACGGGCACCGTAGCGGTTATAATTGAGCCAGGAACCCAAGATCAAGTAGGCAGCAGTACACAGGAAGAGACTGTGTTACCCCGGGGGTAATTGGTTAGCGTTTCGCCTCTTGACGACAGGATGTCAAAGACACAAGGAGAGAGGGGAAGCATACAGGATTATCAACCAGGTAAAGAATCCCCAATGACTCGACGAGTCCCCCTTGTTATCATCTCGGTACTTGTCGCACGCGTACCGGGTCGCCCAGTCCAGCCGCAGCACGTAGGTATCATCGTCGGCGGGACCAAAGCTCTTGAATTGAAGACTGCTGCTACTATTTCTGCTGCCGCTGCCCTCTTCCGCGCGGGCGTGCAGCACAGCCTCACTCGCCGGCTCGTTCGTGGTCCGGAGACCTTCCAACCCCGACCGGTCGGGGTCACAGTTGAACTCGATCACGGCTTTGGTGGCGTGCTTCTTTCCAGTCGTGTCCTCGTAGCTGCCGCCGGCAAACTTGACCAGGAGACCTTCACGAGAGGAGTCGGATTGCTTTAAGCGAGTGACCTCGGTGTCTTTGCTGCCGGATCCGAGGTGGTCGTAGCCCGCGATGGGGAATCCCTGGTCTGTTTCAACGCTGCTGTTCGCGTGGGTTCGGTATTCGAAGCCGCAGACTATATGATCGAGAGGTTAGTGCATGGGAAGATGCGACGCAAGAGAAGAGGATAGGTTCGCGGGAAAGTTGGCAAGGAGAAAATCGCACTGTTTTTGGAGGTCCCGCACTTCAAGTGCTCTCGGTTGGCTGCCTTCCCCAGAATGTTGCAGATGTTGAGTACATATGTCGTGTTGACTGTCGCGGATTCCTCGGGTTTCTCGACTACGTTGTAGAGGGTGTGTACGCCGCCGAGGGGGCTGAGGTCATATTTGATTTTGTCGACGATTATGTTTTTGCAGTCGAAACTGCCCGAGGCAGAGACGAGACTGGGGAGGAACAGGGCGGAGGAGAGAAGGGTAGAAGAGAGGCTGGACGGTATTCGCATGGTGGATGTTGTTGATTGTGGTGCTGACGGGGCCGGGTTTGGCTGAAGGGAGGGTGAATGCGTTGGTCACCGGAGCTCAGCTCGACAGTTTCGCGAGTAGAAAGGTGAAAAGATATCAGATAGCAGCGACGAAGTCAAGAAAGTAATATTCCGCGTGGGGAGTCAGGCGAGGTGGTGAAGCTGGAAAGCCGAATGCTCAGAATAAACAGGCGAAAAGGCAGGCTGGGAATTGATTCGATCAGCTGTCGGCGATGATGCGGTGGCCGGAGCTCTTCGTTTCTCCGAGGCGAGGGCGGGCCGAGAGCGAAGTCGACCAAGTCAGCATGCAGACGTCCACAATGTAATCCTTGCGATGAGGCAGAGAGGGACGAAGTCGGAGGATGGAGGGAATAATCCACAACGAAGCAGGAAAGAGACAATATGTGAGAGAAGGCAACTCGCGTGCTTGAGGGAGGCTCGCATTGGCACCGCGTCTGGCGAGCAGCTGACGGCGATGATGTCACCCGACCAGGTGCCGCATGTGTAGAATGTGAAAAGGAGATCGGAAATTCATCGAGCAGAGATACAAGAAAATCGAGAAAAAGTGTAACTAGAGCAGAACAGCTACAGAAATGAGTCACGTTAGCAGTCAGTGAAGATGAAGTATAAGAGGTTAGCAAGTTAGCAAGCATGCCAGGAAGGAACCGAGAGCTTAGCCATCAGCAACAAAGCCGTAGAGCATGAAGAAGAATACTAGGTAGACAAAGAAACACAATAGACTGCTATCAATAGCATCCAATGGTACTTCTTGCTGGTTCATCGAACATAGGGTGTTCCACACTTGACCTACAAAGTGTAGTAATCAACTTCCTACAGGTGTAGAAAGTAATTTACTCTACTGGGTAACTTAGGTTATCAAAGTCACTCCGTGCACGGGCCACATCAGCCCAAAGAAGAAACCTCCCCAGCATCAAATCCCCATCCCGATACCAATTAATCAAACAACCTCTCTACCCTTCCAAATTCGCACCCGTCTATTCCAACATGATCCAAACTCGTATGGTAAGCACACCTCCCTTCACTTAGGTCTATATCAGAAGAATACTCCCCCATTTCACCCACCAACACAACGAAACTAATTCCCCCGCCCACCAGCTCTCCAAAGAAGACGAGGCCCGCGGCGAAGACAACGAAGTCCGCCGCGAGGACCAAGAAAAGATCAACCGCTTCAGTCGCCTCCACCAACGGGAAACCGTGTTGGAAGAGCAATTGAAACTGAAGCAGGTAAGCTCAGCAGCCCTCAGCTTTTGTTTTTGTCTTTCATTCTCCTCCTCCCTAACTGTTCACCCCACCAACGTCGTCCCTACGTAACCCCCATCCGTATAGTCAGCACGATAAACTGATATTCGGGGGCACAAAAAAAAACAGAAAGACAAAGAAGATCTCGAAGAAATCTCCACCGAGCTCGAACTCGCAGATGAAGATGATCTCATTCCGTAAGTCATCCTTTATCCCCACTTCCTAAACCCACTGACATCCCAAATGCAGCTACAAGATCGGTGACTCCTTCTTCCACCTGCCCCTGGAAGAGGCCCAGTCCCTCCTCGCCACCTCCACCGAGCAGATCGACGCCGAGGTGAGCAAGCTGGAGGAAAACCTGGGCGACCTGCGCGAGGAGCTGCAGCAACTCAAGGTCGCCCTGTATGCACGCTTCGGCCGGAGTATCAACCTAGAGACCTAGGCTTCCCCTGCCTTAGTTCTTGTAACCTAAACGCACCTTTGGTTCGCTTGTCATTCTACTTTCTCTTCCTTTCTTGCTTTACTTAATGAAGACTAAGTTACCTTTCGGAATGCGGGGAGGATTACCACGTGGCGGGTACTGTAAATGGTGGGAGGCGTTTGGTTCGGTTCAAGGGGGGTGGTTGTGGTAGCGAGGATGGTAATGTTGTTGTGGTTGAAGAGATTGACAATGGACGGAATTAACTTAGGACATGTCTCATCAAGTTCGAATTCAAGAACAGTGTAGGGATAATGTCATCTATAAAAAGAATCAATCGCCTATGCGGGTACACATACTCTGTACAGAAAGGGTTCTGTCCAACCAACAAGGGGGATATCTACGCGAATACTATACTAAATATTATGATAGTGAAACATGGAGAAGGCAAAAGAAAAGGAGAAAGAAAAGCTGTTTCGTGATCCATAACTTCATCTCACATGCTTTAAATAAGAGAGGCGTGAAGAGAGCCCCCACGGGCAAGATATTATGACATGGCGTTGGTACAGTAAAATCCCGTTCGCTCGTTTGCTCGGATGGGGTATGTCTGCCTCAGGCACGATAATTCGGGTGTCGTGCGACCGAAGCGCGCTCATTCTGAGAGACTGGACATGACCTGGCAAAAGAACCAGATGACAACGAACCCCACCGGGTGCTGTGCATAATCTTTTTATGCATTACCCCTTAAATGATACTGGCGATCGTCATGCGCGAATGAGATGAGCTTGACTGGGGTGTGGTTGCATCAGAGCTGATGGCTGCTGCGTCAGGTCCCAGGTAAGACGATTCCGCTGGCTTAAGATGATGTTGTTGTTGTTGTTGTTGTTGCTGCTGCTGCTGCTGCTGTCTCTCACTCAAATACCGTACGCTCTGCTCAACCCAAGCCCAACCTTCCCAATTCTCCGTGATCTCCATCTCGGGGCGTGGATATGCGGTAGGACTGTTGAGTTTGGGGGACATCGTTTCGAGTTGAGAGCCTGTTTCGCTTCCTTGCCATACCCAACTGCTTTCAATCGTTCCTTGCATGTCTCCAGAAACATATGCAATCAGCTCTTCGTCACGATCGGCTATAATGGTCTCGCTGCGTTGAAGTAGCGCGTTCAAGAAAAATGCCAAGTATTGTCCGCAGGCTGCATTCACCGCGCGTGAGTCCCCAATCGCAGCACTGGCTTGTACGCAGACCAATGCAGCGGCATATTCTTGGCGAAAAAGAAGCAGCAGCACGCAGCGCCAGAGATGAACGCATAGCATAGCCCCAGCTGATGAGGCGACTAGTGGTCGCCAATCCTCGCCGCTGCTTGTCGGGTGTCCATGACGCGGGCTGGCGGGGGGAGGTCGCATACAGCGCGAAAGAAGACGGGCAGTATCCTGGGCGGTAGACACACAGAACTCCAACGCCGACGCTCGCGCCTCGGGACTGCAGTATGGGGCCATATTGTGCCGATGAAGAAGGAGTCGTGCGTTCTGGAGATAGATTATGGGTGCAAGAGAACGGGGGTCGAGGTATTGCTCGGACCGCGGCAGATATTGCGAGGGGAATGTAGCCAAGCAGGCATTGAAGTGTCGCTCAAAAGTTTCCAAGGTGGCCGGACTGATCGTTGGGCTCTTCAGGGTTCTAGACAGCTGTCCGATCGAGCGGACGACATGAATACTTGCAAGAAGGGGACTTGTTTGTGGGCTCTCCGGTACACCACCGCCTTCTGAGATGTACTGTTCATCAACGGGGCATGGGAGATCGACATCACAGTCCTGATCATTGATCAGTACTGGTTTACCCATCTCTAGAGCAAGAAGCCTGGGAATGAATCAGTCTCGGACCTTCGATGACGAGCCCTAACGATTGGGCGATGCTTACCGGTCCCAGGTGTACATCCCCCACCATACTCGTTTGCGCATCTCGCCCTCTAGAGGTGACCAGGGCCCGGATTCCAGGTGCAACCCAATCTCCTGGGCCACTCTCACCGCAGACCCAATCCACACCCAACTGGCCGACCGGGAATTAGCTTCGTAAAGGAAGATACTGGCCAGTAGCGCCGCTCGGGCCTGGTCCAGAGTGAAGTTATCCTGCCATACATCAATGACACCGCAGCAGATCTTCACAAACTCCTTGCCTTCCTGTTCCCGGTTCCGTTCTAGGGTGTGTAGAGACCCGCATGCGAAGACACCAAATAGGACCGCCGCCCATTCCCGAGGGATACCCAGTAGCGAGCCTGCTTGGTAGACCTTCTCGTACTCTGCCACAAAGGTAGGCCAGTGAATGACGGGAAGAATGGAGTGGATGCAAGAATAATATTGCCCCAGTAAGCGATTAGCCACGTCTTTCGGTGGAAGTTGTGGGGGATCCGTCGTCAGCAAAGACTTAGGTCCCCGCTGTCGATAAGGTGGAGGAACTTTGAGAATTCCTCGACCGTACTTGCGTAGGTTAATCCGTGCCTGGGTCAGATCCGGCACAAAGGGCGCCTTGGGTCGGCGCGGGGGACGATACCCAATATCCGGTAGCTTCAGCTGCGGTTGGCCTGTTGCATCAATGTCGAGATCCATCAGATTGTCCGACCTTAGCATCCCCGATCGTAGTTGCTGGAGTTGCTGCTTGGTTGACAGCAGTTGCTTTTCCAGGTCTTGAACTTGTCTACCAGGCAGTTAGCATGTGTCGTCACGGAGGGAACGGGAACACAAACTTAATAGACGACATGCGTCTGTTGGTTTCCTTGGTGAATTGGCAGCGCACCTTGCGGTTGGTGCATTCTGTGCAACTGGACGACTCGGAGGCGTCACACTGGGCGGAAGGTCAATGCAAAACCAAAGTAACAGGGCTGCGGCGTAACCATACCTTGACCTTGCGCTCCCGACAGGCATCGCAACTGGGATCCTTCCTCCGCTGCCGATACGCCCTCTTCTGTTGTAGAGGCTGCTGCGATTGCTGATGATGCGGATGCGGTCCAGCCGCCACACCACCCACCGGCTGTAGCATTCCCGGTCCCGGCCCGGAGAGCCCTGGCGCATCCGCGAGGATAGATGCGCCCTCGGCGGGCGAGCCGCTGGACTCATAAGAACGCGAGTAAGGCGGAAGAGAAGTTGCGGTGGTTGACGATTGAGGGGTTGGTATTTGCTGAGCCAAGGGTTGCAGAAGATGGGACATGCGCAGACCGCTGTCGGGTCGACTGGGCGGTGCGGAAAGCAGCGAAGCAGCTCCAGCGGCGGGTGGTGGTTGTGGTGGGCCGCCGGGCGGTTGAAGAAGAGGCGCTGGCGGCGAAGTCACCGCGTGCACGGGGGGAAGCTCATAAGACCCTCCCGGCTGGTTCGGGCTAGTTGACGAGCGAAAATAATGCGCCTGCATGCCGACACCTGCAATGCAACCTCATAAGGCGAAGGTGATGAAGGTGGAAGCAGTTTGCGCGTGCGCGCCGGAACGGTGATCGAGTCTGTCCGCTGGTTGGAGAGGGAGAAGCAAAAGAGGATGAGGATGAGGCGGATGACAATAATGATGATGCGAGGCCAGACTTCTTTTTCTTTTTTTTTTTCCCTTCTTCCTTCTTCCTTCACAGATGAATAGATGCAAGTCAGAAGGCAACTAACGTAGATAGTGGCGGGAATTAAAGCGACAAGGAACTCTGACATTCGATCAGATCCCGAAAAGAGCGCAAATTCCCGAAATTCCCACCCAGGTTTTGCAGTGGGATAGAGTGGAAGAGGAAGGAGGGGGGGAGGGGGGAGAAGGAGAGGGGCGGTTATCCGCAATGGCGACGAAGGTAAAATAAAATAGCTGTATCGATCGCACCAATGATGAATTTGGGTCAGAGATTCAATGTTCCAGAGACAGAAATAAAGTTGGAGCGATGGTCAACCGTGGAGACATCTAGTCTAGACGCGGTAGTCTTGCGGTAGTTCCTGGTGCGGACAGATGGATGTGTTGGAGTGCAAGTGGGTGCTGGTGAAGCCATACAAGAATACTACCGAGGCTGAGAGGGGCTGCCAGAAGAAGAGCCGCCCGGGAAATACTTTGCTGTGGGTTGCACCAAGGAAGGAATACTTCGTTGTACTAGTGGCGGTGGTGGTGGTGGTGGTGGTGTTGGTCGCGTTGCGAAGTTCGACTGGACCAAGTTGTCGTGCGCATAAACAAGCATTGACAAGAATGAAGGGATTTCAGACTGGTGTGGACACAATGCGTAGAGGAGAGGCTGGAGAAGAGGTGGCCGCCTTAGGGAGGGGAAGGGGAAATGGAGGGAAGGGACGGAGAGAGAGAGAGGACGAGAGAATAGGTAGAAAGGGAAGAAGGCGAATTGCGGCAGAAAAGAAGACGACGGGGCAAAAGGAAGAATAAAGAGGAGGAAAGGATATAGAGTGAATAATGAGTGGTGACGGGCTTCGGCAGTCATGGGCAGGAATAGACGATAAGCCCGTCGTCCGTCATGCTACTCCTAATTGACTACCTACCTACTTACCTACCTAGTTCGCTAGCAAAATAACAACTACTCACTACCAACACAATCTCCTACTGTGAAAAAGGGAAAGAAGAATAAATAAATAAATAAAAAATAGAGAAATGAATTAAAGAAGAGCAACCTGAGAAATCTCTCTGGATCAGGGATGCTGATTTGGTATGGTTCAATATCTTATTAACAGATTCCTCTAATTTTCTCGAACCCTAGTTCGTCTCTATATTGACTCCGGCATTGATCAAGTGGAAACAAATCCCCTCCAAGATCTAGTAGCAGCTGGAGCGGCAGCAGCAGCAGCAGCAGCAGCAGCAAGTAACAACAACAACAACAACAACAACAACAACAACAACAACAACAACAACAACAACAACAACAACAACACTACTCAACGGCGACAGCAGTGGCCATTATTGATTCCCAGCTCCAGACCTACTCTTCAGCCTTCCGTCTCCCTTTAACCACTTAGTCCATCATATGTGTTTGGAATAGAATCAACTTTACGGGGCACAGTCACCAGGCTTGAATTAGCTAGCCTGTCAGTGCGAGGAGAGGCTGAAATCGGCCGACGTATTGCTGCCCCCCTCCGTCGTCGTTCTCTCTGTCTTCTCTCCTCCCCCCCTCTTCACACGACCCAACAATCCAGGGTCCTCCCAGGTTCAGGAAAGGTCTCCGAAAGTTTCTCGGCTGACCCCGGTTACAGAACAACAGGAAAACATGGCTGAAACGACGCCATTCTATACTCAAATCAGATCGAAGGGAGAGGGGTGGGCAGGCTCGAGCCGGAGATTAGCACCTGAGCTTACTGCAGAAAGTCTATCCGTCAAGGAATCTGTTGCCGACGGGGCAGCCTGATGGCTTCGAGTTCTAGCTCCTGTCGCTTGAATTGATTGATTAAAGTGTGTTAAATTACCACTGCCACCCACTGATTGCTGTTGCTTCGCTCGCCTTCTCTCTTGCACACGCAAACATACACAAACACTACCAAACGGTCAAACTGCTGTAATTTATGTTTATTATCGTCCTAACAGCAACACGAGCAGAAACACTGAGTGGCTGGTCTGTTGCCTGGATCGATCGAACTGTTTGCGATTGATGAATGAGAGAAGAGCATCGGTCGGTATCTCTCTTTCTTTTGTCGGGATCATGCAAAGAATTCGCCAGCAGCTTCAATGTAGAAGAGTTGGAGACGGTCTGGTGGGATAGTTGTAGTCATGATAAGTGGGCAGGCGAGGGTCGCTACCAACTCCCGCGAGCGCAGAGGCTTGATCTTGTTTTTTTACCTTTTTTTTTTGTTCCTTTTTATCTTTAGTTGTTTTGGCTGAGGATCAGACCTCTAGCTAGCTGAAAAGCGACCCGAGATCGGCAAGTGGCAGTGTCGTCCTGACGGCTTCATGCGACGGTTTGAGATCGCGACGTGGTCAGTTGTGGTCCTGAAGTCCATGTCTCCTTTGGTCCCACCACGGAGCGGGATCAAAAAGAAGAATGGCGGGCCTTCCTTCCTGTGGGAGGGTCTCTCGGTCTCGGATAGGGGAGGGCGAAAGAGAGAGGGGGGACGGAGCCAGACCCGGCCATGGGATGAACAATTTTCTAGGCTCAACCGTGGACCATTGACCATTGACTGTCAAGCTTACATATGCCGTAGTAATTAGGTAGTTAACTTACTGTACGAATCTACTCGTACATCCAAATCGCACACAAAGTACGGTGTACATACTGTACATATACGGAGCTCAACTCCGAGCTGTTCCCAATTTACTGCTAACCTGCAGGATCATCTCGTTGGGGAGTTAGGGTAAGCTCGCTCGTAACCAACAGCAGCAGCAGCAGCAGCAGCAGGGAATAATGCCTCGGATCTATCCCGTAGCCGATGGTTGCAAATGATTAGCCTAAGTAGTTACTGGTTAGCCCTCGATGATTGATGATCGATGGAAGAGGAAGAGAGGGGCAGTGGAATCGGTCTCTCGATCCGGAATGCCCACTTGGTCGGGATAATTCTCGACACGTTTTCACATAATGGTCTTTCAGTAATGTCTCCGAACTCAGTATGTCTTACCTCTGCTTCACGGAAATGAGAGTCTGGAATAGAATCATCGAATCATGGATCCAAGAAACCGAGCCCGGAGTACGGAATGATGACTGGCGGTTTGACGGGAACGTGGAAAGTCAAACTCGCTTTACCTTCAATGAGAAGGTCGATGGGGCAACGGTTTGATTGGATGTTGGGGAAGATCGTTGGTTGCTATTCTTATTCTCTTCACCGACATCCATCCAATACCGGGTATCGCTTCCCTGAGGTTGAGGTTGACCCGATTGATCCCTCTAACAGCTTCAATTAAAATTGCAATCCATTACACCGAATGACACCGAACGAGGGATACTTTTCTTCTCAACGTGTGTCTATCTGATACACTGAGGACAGATATAATGCCCCGCGCTGAAAAAGAAGACTGTAATGAAAAGACGGAAAAGGAAAGAGAGAAAAAGAGAGAGGAGAGAGAAACGCACTTCGTCATCAGCATATGCTGACGATCGACTCGGAATCACTGCTCCGGATCAAGCCCATTGGGCAGACCAGTGAACGGCACGAGGCAACAACCGTGGACGGTTCCACTGCGACCAAGCTTGCGCACATTAAATGTATTACCACCGGTACCGATACTGGACGATACCAACTGCCCTGTTGAGGTCGCTGACGAAGATGTCTGGTAGTGGTGTGGTGATGACGATGCTGCTGCTGATAGGTTTTCTCGGGCGAAACACGGACGCCATTGCCATGCCGAGTCACGGCAGCGAAAATTCTCCGGGCTGCCCACCATCCAATGCCCACCGTCATTTGCGCTGAAATGATCGGTTAGCAACTGAAGGCCGTTTGGTCACGCTGATTGGTATCGGCACATCGGTCATTCCGTGCCCAATGCTCTTCGCAAGGTGGCAGTGCGTACTAGGTTCAATGTGTACACACTACACACAACACAGTGCCTTAAACACAGTATTCGATTGCGCATATTAAGGTATGTATTGCCTGTGCTATGTCCGTACAATTGGATGGGTATACTGTAACGTGCCTTTGTACAAAGTAGTATTACTCGGTATGCTATCCTTCCCTACCTGATAGTCAAATCAACTCATTCCCCTCTTCTGAGCATTGAGGAAGAATCCAGGCCTCCTTCGCCCCTCATCACCTTGTGAGTGCTTTCCCTTGAGTCAGGTGTCAACGCCACAATCAATGCGCCCTGAACCAATCGATCCCTCAAGACAGCGCGCTTTGGGTAACTCTGCCACGGGCCTAATAGTCAGCCACCCAGGCCCGCCTTTTCTCCTCCTACGTAGGAGCCGACCCAGCAGAGCGACTATTGTGCAGTAGTAACTTTCTGGGTGGCATGGGCCCTTTTTCCCTTTGTTTTTGTTTTTAATTTTGTATTTTTTCTTTTGCGCTCCTTTTTGATCAATTTCCTATTTTTGTCTCTCTGTTCTCTTTCTCTCAATGCAGCGCTTACCTTCTGGGTTTCGGCGAGTGTCGATCAGCACCGCAGCCCTCTACCCTACCTCTCTCAAACAGGGTCCTTCCCTTTTCGCAGCTTGGCGTTGGGACACGGCTGCTGCGTGTGTCTTAAAGCTCTTGGCCAACTGCCAATGACTTGTAGTGAAACTGTTCCTCGTCTCGATGCAACCGATGCCCAGCCCAGCTCTTGTTTCTCTTCAGAACAGGATGAATGAGGGAAGGGGGGTAGGGAGAAAGGGGGAAATAGAGACTTTCCTAGTGGCCAGCTGGTAACTCTACTGATATGACAGAAATCATGCTCAACCTTACGCTTCCAGACTCAATACTGCTGACTCGGGACTAGGATGTCACAGCTACCCTGGCCATTCAGGGTTCGGGTTCCAAATGACTAGCCCCAAACGACTACTGCCTATATAGCCTGAACTACTGTAGGTTACTTCAGGTCACATATGCACCGTCCTGCGCAGCTGCAGCAACCGACTCCAGCTGTAATTAAGTTCTTGACTTGCTCCGAACACCTAACTTGTCATTATCCCTTTTACATGTTCAGAACGAGTGATGTTGAGACCATTTACCAAGGCTGCGGAAAATATCTCCTTAGCCTATCCTGCTTCGATGAAACTGCCGCACCGACGGGCAATATCCGCCAGTCTTACGTATTAGTCGAAAGCGTCGTCATGTGGCAGTCCGCACCACAGTTCATTCGTCGCTCCCAACCCGGTCGCTGACCGTAGTGGCCCATTCATCCTGCATTGAAGTGGATGCGGGAGCACACCCTTCCAGGAAGATGCCGCACTGCCGCGGGTGTCGGATTCGTTCCAAGCGCTCCGTGTTGGTTGCATGATTGCCTTGGGTTCCGAAAGCGCTGGATGGACTCTAGACAGACCACCGGAAGACAAAGTGAGACTGGGCGGTGATTCTACGCATAAGTTACGGCATTACTAGATTACCTAGTAAATCGTTCTGTCGTTTTTCGAGAACAATAATGCGATCGGATGACAACAAACAGGACCCAACCCACCCATAACCCAGTCCTCCAAGGCCGAAACTAGACTAGACTAGGGCAGGATAGGCCCGAGAAGTGGTTCCCGGACTAAGAGTCACTAGTGACTGCATGTCTAAGGTACCATGTAACGTACCATGTCGGCCGGATGTTCTAGCCGAGATCGAACAACGATATGGTTAGGACTAAGTAAACTCTGGTGGATGCAAACTCCGGCCAGTCACAAGTGGCAAAAGACTAAGCTTTTCAAAGGGAAAACAGGCCAGCAATCGGTTCGATAGGAAACTATTGGAAGGCAGACAGGAAATAGTCGGATGGTCGGAACGTCAAACAAACTGCATCAAGTTGCTAGCTACTCTACATATGATATGTACGAGCATGTACTGTACTGTACTGTGAATAGCAAGCAGATGCTCGCCTGAGCTGTTTCCCGGTCGTGTGTGTGTTCGGCGTGTTGCGAACTTTGGGACAACGGGACCTAAGCTTAAAAATGTACATCGGTGCGCACTGCGTAGAATTAGAGCGCGGGCGGTTGTCGGATTTGGTTCCTGCCGTGGCCCCCTCCCCAGTCACACACACACACACACACTCAGTGATAGGTATAAATTGACTGGTAACTTATTACTTCGGCGGGCAAAGATGCCTTTTGTAGTTTAGCCCTACACTACCGTTGTCGTAAGATATGAATGGGAGGCTGGTTGAGCCTCTCTCCGAGGAGCATTTTCATTTTATCCAATCCATTATTCAAGGGTCCCGCTCTGTATGGCACTTGCCGTGATAGTTTATCGGATGCACGCCGTTTGAAGAGTTGTTCAGCTGTTGACGGGCACGATGGAAGATGTCACGGTAATAACACCACAGCAATAGTAGCCAAAGTAAGGTACAGTACTTGCCATATATTCTCGGCAGGGATAAACAGTCGACGGGCTTTGGCTGGCCAGACCTTTTTTTACTTCCCATCTCTCCCTCACCTACTTACCTACGTCTCCTTTGTCCCTTTCTTTAGGTACATGACTCAGTCAATCAATAGACCAACAACTAACGAGCCATGCTGAACTCTCTCATCTGGTCATCTGGTGTAAATGCATCCAAATCAACAATCCGACCGGGGCTAGGCCACCTGGATGCAACTCGGCGAGTTCCGTCACAGCACTAGTGGAATAATTGGTTGTGGCCAGTCGACTTCTCAATGGCGGCTGCGTTCATTTGAAGGTCCTAGCTGGAAGTTATGTCACGATGGCTGTTCTGCAGGTTTCTTCTCGCGTCCTTTCTCTCTGTGCCTCTGCCTCTTCCTCCCTCCTTCTCTCTTTCACTCTCTCACTTTCTCGCTCTCTCGCTGTCTCAATCGACTGGTCCATCTGTGCCGTGTTTTGCCCCTCTTTGTCCACCCACAACGGCGGAAGAGGATCGATTGCCGACCCATCTACGGAGTACGTATTGAATAACAATGGCAGGCTTCACAGGCCGGATATTGCTCGAGCCTAACCATCCACGTGGGCGTTGCATGGACCATTGGCCCGCCTGTCTACCCGCTGAATCAATTGTTGAACAGAGACATGTTTCTTGACGGTGGGTTTGATTGTCTACTACAGAGTACGTACTTTACTCTGCTCCCATCCCTTTCACTGTGACATTGTAATGTGGATTTTGGGCCCCCAGTGCAATTGCTCATGGTGTCTGGGAGTACTAGTAGCGACTGGCAGTCTCCGACCCCCAGCCATTAATCTGTTGCGCGAACAGGAGTCTTCATGGTCAATGCCCTTCAACCATGCGGCGGCAATGCTCCAGCCAAGCATCCTAGTGCGATCGTGGTACTCTGCATGCGGTATCTCGGTGTCGTAGACACTTGCCGTGTACTGTACAACGGCCAAGCGACGCTATTGACAAGGACATTAGATGCAGACTGCTATCCTGCCTTGGCCCCAAGACAACCCGACACTAAAGTACTACGTTCGCCTTATCAACATTCGCTAAAACCACTAACTCTACCAGTACTATCTTGAAGCGGTTCTTTCCTTATGTGTTTTTTTTATCGCCCACACGCCAATGCACACGCCTACATGAGAGGATGAAGTCCTAAATATCAATCGGACGAGAAGTCTAATGGCGAGGTCGGAGGTCTGTGTAGTCTGCACTTGTAATGCATCGTTGGCCTCGTTGCTCTCGCTAGAGATCTTTGGTCGGGATTCAGCGGGCCAGCTCCACTTGAGATTCTTGGCCTCGGATTTACTTCCGACAGCCTGGCGGCCGGTTGAAGGAGCATCATACATGATTACCCAGATACTGTACTCTGTACAGAACATAGCCGGGACTCCTAGATTGGTGGTGGCTGTTACAACCGTTTCTAAGGTTGCTTGCTCTCCTCCCAGGTTTCGGGTGCTGAACCGTGCGACCCCATCCGGATTGCGCTCCGCGTACTGGACTGCGTACTCCGTACTTCCTAAATCCTGCATCCTGCATCCTGACAGTCTGTGTGCTTGCTTACGTGCAGATTGCAGCGCTATTACTTCCAACAGGTGAGCTTAGCGGCACATTTTCTCCGATCCTTTCCGCTGACAATTCAAGATTTGTTCCGACCTAGCCACCTCAGCCGCACGCACACGAGCTTGAACATTCTGGCAACTGTCGCCTTTGATATTATCGTCGGGCATTCGAGGACCAAGTCTGTAACTCCGTTCGCCCCCCTCCCTCTGTCCTACCTCTGCCACTACGTCCCCCACGGACCGTCGCTTGCATAGCCTCGTATTTGATTTACCAAGGCAGGAATCAAGGCCCTACCTGCGAAAGGAACAGGCTTCGCCCGATCCAACCGGCGCGCTTCCACGCATGTTAGCCAGCCTCGGCCGAACCTGCCAGTGGCATGAGGGCAAGTGGCTAGACCCGTGCTGCGGGCTGGAACCAACTATACTGTAGTAACTTAGTCTAGCTGAACCTAGCGGGATTCGAGATGTCGTGATCAATTTGGAGAGGACGGGCCAATCTGGCCCTATATTGACCCGCAATTTAAGGAGAGATGCTTGAGATGTCAATCTGATTATCTTTTCCCCCCTTCACCCCCCTCGGCAAACTGCCGGGATCTACCCAATTGGGAAATCTTTCCTATCACTGCAGGATACCTGAGTCGTGGACATTTCCCGATACAGTCGGTGGATATTAGTAATCATCCTTGTCCTTAATGGCTGCAGTGTTCGGTAGCTGCTTCGTTAGTATGATTTAGGACTCGTGCATGCAGCTGTTCATCCATCTGATGATGTTTGAGCGTTGCGGCACAACGGGTTTATTCGACAGGGAGGGCTGAGCGTGAGGGTGAGGGGGGCTTTTCATTCGATTGGGGGCAAACAAACGAAAAAGTGATGACGTCTGGGAAAGGAGAATCTTCTCATGCGTGACGAATATAATTGGATGGATTGGGACTAGTAGCTATTCTCTTTCTATACGGAATCGCAGACGGATGTGATGCCACCTGGTTATTGCTTGAACACCCTACTGAAATGACTTGATATAACCTTCCAATTGCGTCTTTTCATGACTTGGGTCATTACAATCGACGATTTACGAGTCAACTATCCTTAGGGTGTGCGATGGCGACTATCGGATTCCCAGAGTTCGAGGACATATGAGGTCTTCGCTTGCATCGCTCTCTCTGCTGCTATCGCCGTAGAGCCTAGTACTCTCTAGCTTCCACGCGGTGAACCTCAGGTGACTGCGACATATACCAAGTGCCATCTTAATGCATGCTGCGCGTTTCTCTACGCCTGTTACACGCTATGCCGAGATACTCATCATATTAGTAACAGGCATGGTTGTTGCGGCATATGATATCTCTTCCTTCCTTCTACTGTCAATCTCATATCCATACCATCTCAGGCCTTGCAGACCATCACCCCTTGAAAGATCTCGCAATCTTTCACAGAAGGTCTCCACTACTTCCTCACAAGCTGAAAACCATCAACCACGCCGACCACCACGCCATCCCTCTCAGACCCAATATAAGATAGAAAGGAAACCCCACAACATCTGAACAAAACATAAGAATCGCATTCTAGACACCATGACCTAGGATCAATAAACCCCCGCTCGCTAGCACAGTACCGCTCACATCCCTCCTCCACTGCCTGATACACAGACCCCAGTCAGCACTTTGTGCGAAAGAGGGAACGACATCACTGCCTCGCAGCCTCCCACCGCTTTACCACCGCCTCCACGATCTGGCGTAGTCCTTCCATCTCCTCTTCGACCTGGAGCCCCAGCGAGGTCGGGTCGATGCTGCTCCCCACGTAGACGGGGGTGCGCAGCCTGCGGGCGAGGATCTTGGCGACGCGGGTGGTGTATTCCACGCTATTGGAGGCGGAGTAGATTGTTGTTGAGAGGGGGGTGGTGGGGGATTTGAGCTGGGGGGGGGGGGCGGTTTGTTGGTTAGTTGCAGTTGCAGGTGGCTTCAGGTTGTGGTGTTGGGGATGGGCATGGTATAGATATATGTGATGTGGAGGGCATCGAGGGCGAAGAAGATATCATAAGATTGAGGGATTCCATCGATCAATGCGTGTAGAAGCATATGGGTATCAGGTTCGTCCTGAGCATGGGGATCTGCTTTGATGTGCCAGATCTATCTATATTGTCCACTACACTTACATCAGGCATCGCGTAGATCAAACTCCCCATCGGCTTGACGGTCCCCGCCGAATCACCCGGGGTCGACGTGGCAAGAAACACCATCGCACATGTGTCCAACAGGGTCAGATGAATGTGTGCTGTCGTGTGGAGAGCCCTGGGCAGTGGGAAGGAGATCTCCTGCGGGTGGAGGCGGGGTGGGATGGTGGGCTCTGCTGCTGTCGCCATTTTCCCGTGTTCAGGAATCAGAGGCGCTCGGTGTTTACAAGATATGGTAGACCTATAGAGAGGTTGCTTGTAAACGAGCCAAACGAGCTGTTTGTTTTGTTCTGCTAGTCCAAAGCATAGAAAGATTGAAGAGGGGCTGGATGGACTGCCAGGGCGAGGTCTCGTTCCGCTTCTAGACTGGACGCTTTTTCAATCTCGTTTTCCCCGCCAAAAACAAACAAAAAAAACCCACAGAAAGCGGGTCCCTCCGCGGCGGCAGGCGGCCCTCGAATTCATCTTCCGGCTTCGAGTCTCATTCATCGCTTGTCTTTTTTTTCTTCCCTCGCGCGCGAGTTTCTGCTTGGAGCTACCTAGTAGTCTTTCTTCTTCTTCTTTGTTGTTGTCGAATTCACCCTCTGGCTGAAAATCTGGAGCGATCGTCGTACCTCAACATGTCACACGATATCACCCACGCCGTCAAATCGGAACCCCACGATGACTCGGAAGATGTGCGCAGCTGGGCCGGGGACTTCGACCCGTTGGCCGATGCCGAGGAGCGGCGGGTGCTTTTTGCTGCATTGGATTCCTTCAGGTGCGTGCGGATGGCCGGTGTGGTACAGCTGCTGGAGCTTCTGGTGTCACCGTCCTATCTTATCGTTCGTGGTTGTTTGTGTAGCCATGGTTAGTTACTAGGTTCTTGCTCTACGCTACGCTAGTCCTACAGTGAGAGGGACGGTCGCCATTCACCAACGATCCATGCTTCAGATCACCATGATGACTTTGACGACCCGAGAATCTGCTGACCATGACAGACAATATCGGAGAACGGTGCATATGAATACAACGCACCGGCGACGACAAGCATTCTACGCGCTCCCCTCGGCGCATTGGCAGATGCTCGCCGAGCCGCCCTTCTCAATCCTGGAGAACTTCAACCGGGTAGACGATGCCATCGACATGAATGCGGAGATCGCGGACGCGATTCTGGCCACGGGCCTATCGTCCTTTGGTCTGTCGCCCGACCCGAACCCGGAGGACTCCCGGGAGAACTGGCACGGAACGGCCAACACCTCCGATGTCAACAAGGCCCATTCGACCTTGAGGCAGTTCTACCGCGACTGGAGCGCCGAGGGGCGCGCCGAGAGAGAAGTCTGCTATGACCCGGTCCTCCAGGACTTGCGCACCGAGTTTGGTGCGCGCGCCGCTGCGGGCCAGGAAATCAGGGTGCTGGTCCCGGGGGCTGGCTTGGGTCGCCTGGTCTTCGACATCGCTCGGGCAGGCTTCTCACCCGAGGGCAACGAGATCTCCTATCACCAGCTTTTAGCCAGCAGCTGGGTCCTCAACCACACCCTCGGTCCTCAGAAGCACATGCTCTACCCCTTTGCCCTGCACTTCTCAAATCTGCTGTCGCGGGAGCAACAGCTCCAGACAGTAATGATCCCCGACCAACATCCGGGCACTGTGATTGCAGAAGCGCTGGAGAACCCCGAGGGTCCTCCGTTCGGCCAGATGAGCATGTCGGCGGCGGACTTTGTGGTGCTCTACCGCCAGCCTGATAACCGAGAGGCATTCGATGCCGTGGCGACGGTCTTCTTTATTGATACCGCCCCGAACCTGATCCGGTATATCGAAACAATCCATCACTGCTTGAAGCCGAACGGGCTCTGGATCAACGTCGGGCCGCTGCTATGGCATTTTGAGGACGGGGCCAACCGCAGCCACGAGAACAGCCACGACTCGCAGGACCAGGGGATCAGCGAGCCAGGGAATGTGGAGTTAACAGAGGCCGAAGTGTTCTGCCTCGTGGAGCGGATGGGCTTCGTGATCGAGCAGCGCCAGCCGGCACACGAACGGCCGTTGTGTGGGTACATCCAGGACCCCAACAGTATGCTGTTGCCGTTGTACCGGCCATCGCACTGGGTGGCACGCAAGAAAAGCCACTGAACCAGTGCTCCCAACTTCCTTCCCCGCCCCCCCCCTCCCCCTTTTCCATCTATCTTTCTCCTTCTTGGAAATAATTAAAGTCATTCAATATAGACTAGATATAATATAGGGTGGATCAGATTTGGAGTCGGAAGTAGTTGAATTTGGGGAGGGGAAGGTAAGTACATGTACCGTATTGTACAAGTATAAGTAACTGCGGTGTGGTATGAAGGGTGTACTGTACTGCTCATACTGTATGGAAAACATACCAAGGCAGGGATCGGGTGGAGACCAGACGCTGTTCAGCCGCAGCCCTGAGCCTGACACCCAAGACAAAGAAAGAACCGGCGATCCAATTCAATTTAATCCATCCAAATCGCCCATCCCGCACCAGGCTTAGCGGCATTGGGGCCAAAACGACGGATGATGGTTCCGTCGCGGGCTCAGGCACTGCTGTTCAGTCTCACTTGATCACTCCGTGGTCTCATCCACAATGCGAGACAGCAGGAGAAATGAGCGAGGCAGAAGCATTCTTTTAGAAAGTAGGAAATCATGGTAGACGGGTACTGTACTGTAGTGTACTGTACTCTTCTCTACTCTACCGCTTTCTCTGCATTAATTGTAAACAAGCACGCCAGGAAGTGGTTGCGGCCTAATCAAGGTCCCGATAGATGCGTCGTAAGATACTGTAATGCTGTAATGTATGGTATGGAACCCAGTTGAATGGACCAGACTTTGGATACCTTCTCTGGGGAGTCAAGATTCAATCATATCAAAAGCATGAACCTGAAAGCATTATGGCTCTATGGTTCTGTTCTGTTCTGTTCTGTTCTTTTCTTTCTTCCTGTTCAATAGTGTGAAGTGCTCTGTGCTGTACTTTGTTAATCCACCAGATCGGTAGTCGGAAGCCGATCATTCCAGAGGGAATTCCAGGGCGCATTTCACTGTCTGGCAATCTGACAGTCTATCGATGACAAACCGGCTCCAGCTCCAGCTCCAGCTCCAGCTCCAGCTGCTGTCTGACTGACACTTCTTTTTCTGTTCTCTTCCTCCTGACCCAAGTCATCGACCATTAACAGAATTAGAACCATTCCACCGACTCAGCCCTGTTGTTTAGTGGATGTTGAAATTGTGGTTCAAGTTATTGTTGCTGTCGTTGTTTGTTGTCCCCGCAATTTGATCCTCCCCACTCTCTCTCCCTCTCACTTTCTCCCTCCCTTTGATTATCCATCCCATCCTCACTCAATCACTCAATCACTCACTCTCTCTATCGCGGGCACTGCCTCTTCCTTCTCCCTCGCTATTTGTCCCGCTCGTCTTACATCCTTTCCTTTCTTTCTCCATCTCTCTCTCTCTCTCTCTCTCTCTCTCTCTTCTCCCCCCTTCTCTTCCACCTCCCTACTCTTTTCTGTCTTCTGTTTCAGCACCGCCCCATTCTCCAATTATCTTCTTTTCCTTCTCTCCTCTCTTCGCCTCTTCTCTTGTGCTGCCGCTGCTGTTCCTCCCTCGCGTCCGCCTCTTTTCTCCCCCTCCCCGCCTCGTATCCCCTCCTTCTTCCTCCTTCTCTTTGTTCGGCCCCATCCGTTGCTTTTAACGGTTGTGCACAATCAAGGACCTGATGAGCTCACGCTTAAACTTCAAATCGTTCACCTTTGGGACGAAGCGCAACAAGAACGGCTCAACCCCGCAACCTCCTCCCGTGTCGACGCTGTCCAGCCAGGGCATCAGCACTGCGCCATCGACCAGCACTCTCGTCGCTCCTCCCTCTTCCACCTCGCCCAGCTCCCCACCCTCCGGTCACAGTTCCTCTACCACCAGTTTACCCATGAACAATCAAAATCAGTTGGGCCGCCCCCCGAGTTATACCTACAACACGGTGGGCCGGCCCACCAGCCCGCTGCCGCCCGGCCCTCACCACCCACCCTCCATCAATACCAGCCTGCAGTATTCGCAATCTCCTATGGGAGCGCCCCCCGGGTATGGACTACAGCAGCCCATGGCCCCGGGTATGACCCCCGGTCTTCATCAACCCCAATACTTGCGCAACCCCGCCGTCGAGGTCGAGGGCGCTGGCCGCAGCAAGGCCCAGCTGATCGTCGGTATCGACTTTGGGACAACCTTCTCTGGAGTCGCCTTCGCATTTGCGACCAACAATGAAGCTCGGGAAGACATCATCACGGAGTGGCCTGGGGCAGGCACTCACACCAAACAGAAGGTGGGTCCTGACAATTTCCCCGCACCTCTTATGCAGGCTCCCCTAGATTGCTAACTCTGTTTCCGGTACCTCCAGATCCCAACGGTGCTGTACTACGACCAATACCAGAAGGTGGTGGGATGGGGCCCGGATATTGCAGATGCGCTGGCCCCCACTGGTTACCCCAAGCAAGGGGTCCAGAAGGTCGAATGGTTCAAGCTCCAGCTCATGCTCTCCGGCAATACCTACATCGACCCCATCAACCTGCCGCCCTTGCCGCCGGGCAAGTCCGAGATCGATGTCGCCGCCGACTACCTTTTCAAGTTGCGACAGGCAATGCGGGCCCAGCTTCAGAAGACCCTCGGTGAAGTGTTCACGCGAGAAGAACGGAACATCCGATACTACCTGACCGTCCCGGCCATCTGGAACGATGCAGGGAAGGCAGCGACTCGGGCGGCAGCTCTTCAAGCTGGGTTTCTACGCGACGAGAACGACAACCGCCTCACCCTGATCTCGGAGCCGGAAGCAGCTGCGCTCTTCTGTGCTAAAACGGGCTTGCTGAACCTGAAAGTGGGCGACGCCATTCTGATCGTGGACTGCGGTGGTGGTACGGTCGATCTGATCGCGTATGAAGTCGAAGAAGAGTCACCCTTCAGCGTCGCAGAATGCACGGGTGGCTCGGGTGATTCCTGCGGTTCCACTGCTCTGAATCGAAATTTCAGCAACATCCTTAGGGCCAAGATCCGCAAGATGAAGCTGCCCGACGGCTCACGCACCGCCGGCAAGGTCTATGCCAAGTGTATCATGGACTTCGAGAATCGTATCAAAGCGGACTTCCGCAACAACGGCCAAAAATGGGCGGTAGACGTGGGAATTGAAGCCGACTTCCCTGATGCGGGCATTGAGGAAGGATACATGACGTTCACGAATGAAGAGATTCTGCAGTGTTTTGAGCCGGTGGTTAACCGCATCCTCGAGTTGGTGCGCAATCAAATCATCGCGATTCAAGCGCAGAACCGATCGCTCCAGGTATGTCGATGGATCCTTAACGCGCAGCGTCCCAGGACTGACCTTGACCCAGAACGTCCTCGTGGTGGGTGGATTCGGTGCTTCGGAGTACCTCTTCCAGCAAATCAAGTTGCACGTACCGCCACAATATCAGACCAAGGTTGTTCGACCTATGGATTCGGTTGCAGCGATTGTGAAGGGTGCCGTGACGGCCGGAATCACTGAGCGGGTGGTCACCCACCGTGTCGCTCGTCGGCACTATCTGATGGCAACGCTACAGCCATTCAAAGAAGGATATCACCCCGAACAGTACCGAGTTCCCAGTCTTGACGGTCGCGATCGCTGCAAATACACGCGGCAGATCTTCATGCAGAAGGGCGAGCGAGTCAAGATTGGCGAGCCGGTCAAGGTCAGCTTCTTCCGGCAGGTTGCTCCCGGCGCCACCCTCATGTACGAGGATATTTTGTATGCCTGTGACGAGGATGTGTGTCCGGAGTACACGAAGGACCCACGTAAGCTGCTCTTTCTTTAGACAAATGCCCCTCCAGCACTGACACAAATCCACTGCAGGCATCAAGGAAGTCGTCACCCTCACATCGGACCTGTCCCGCAAGAACCTGGAAACCGACTTTGAGCGCATGGACACACCCCAGGGAACCTTTTACCGCGTTTACTTCGACATCTACTTGACCCTCGACGGGAGCGAATTCAGTGCGGAGCTAGTGTGCCAGGGTGAAGTAATGGGACGCTGCAGGGCCAAGTTCCGCTAGTTCCAAATACACTTCGAGCAGAAAGGGGGAAAGGAAAAGGATACAGATATGATGATACCCGGTAGAAGAAAGAAAGAAACTCGGATTCACGGGTTTCCCAACCATATGCGATATATAAATCTCATGATACACACACACACACACACACACACAATCACGCTGCACTAGGACGGCGTTTAATGTTTTCTCCTTTTGTTTTCCATTTGGCCCACTGACACTTCTCTTCCCTGACGGTCATCCACAGATTCACACCCGGGAACCACCCACCCAGTCTGGGATATCCTGTTGGAATGTTTGTGCTATGCTGGTTTATAAATCTTGATACCTTTTGATCTACCCATGCTCTGATGAAATGTGATTTGTGATTTGGTCACCATAGCCAAAATACTGGTTTGAGTCCTTGTTGTCGTAGTAGTAATAGTAGTAGTAGTAGTCTCGCCTTGATTTCTATTTCCCAGTAGCCCGCTGAGCCTTCCTGTTCCATGGGCACTAGCAGGATGGTGAGGACTTCCCTTTCAACCGCTCCCCACCTCTCGATCGCGCTACCCTCGTCCCTAGTCGGTAGTCAGTAGTTAATAGTCCATAGTCAAGAACAACCCGACCAAACAGCCAACCCCCCAACACCTCCGAATCGCAAAATGCAAAGACAAGAGACGGAGGGAAAATTTCCACTGCAAGATCCACTTCCTGATCCCGTCCCGTACAATCAATCTACCTACCAGGCCCAAACCCTGTACGTGGGTAGTGTATGTATGTGGAAGGGGGAGAAACAGAAAGAGATCCAAAGGAAAAATTCGCTTAAGAAGGGTGGGAAGAGCAAGCACGAAAGAAAGGAAAAAGGTCGTCAACCTTTTTTCCTCTATACATCTATCCCCTCTTCCTTCTATACTTGTGTATCAAAGTTGTCGAAACCCCCGCAAGAGAAAAGGAGAAAAAAAAAAAAAAAAAAGGAAAGAACAGAACAGAAGAAAAGAAGAAAAGAAAGGATAAAAAGAAATTAGACCGAGAAAGGGGTTCCCCCTTCCTACGCCCCCGGACCTCTCTCCGTCCAAGTATACCATCTTTTTCTCCACAGCAAGAAAGACGACACACACACACACACACACACACACACACACACACACACACACACCAAGAAGCGACACCGCTTACACAGGACACAGACAGGGCTTGAATGGGAACTTGGTTAATGAGGCCGTACGGTAGGTAGGTACCTAGGTTGGTAGCCTACTTGCCCGGCCTACCTGCCTATCTGCCTACTTGTCAAGTGATGGTTACGTACTATAATGGTTGTTGAGAAATATATACTACCTCTTTTACTCTTCCACCATGGAAAAGTCAAGGTATACATACATCCAAAAATCAGCCCAACCATGATCGTCCATTGGCCTCTTCTTCCCCCACTCCCCCTCCCCTCTCCCTCGCCGCCCTTCTCTCTCCCCCTCGTCATCAACCATGACGACAATCCATGCATGACATAGAAGGGAAGACACACACACACACACACACACACACACAAAAATAAAAATCCGATCACGCGCCACATCTGGATAAGGATGTTCAGCCTGGGCGGTGGAAAAGTGGGGTGGGGGGAAAGGAGGGGTGGAGGGAGAAAGAAAAGAAAAAAAAAAAAAAACAAAAAAACAAGCTGCTGCATGGCTTCAAAAGGACTAATGCGTGGCGTTGATCATCATTGTTTCCTTTTCTCCTTGGGGGTTTAATGTTAACATTTGTTTGCCATCTAATAGTTCGTATTTATCTATGGCATTGTTGTCTTGATTGCCGAGATGACTGACGTTAGATACTAGTACCAACTTTTTGCCTTGATTCTCCTCTTTTTGCCACGAGGGCTGTTTTCGTTTATCCTATACGAGGAAATGGTGAACGAAACCGGTTCGGACTGCATCTACAAAGTCCTTTCTGTGCTACCCTGATTTTTGCCGTTCCGAATGATCCGAGGCACAGGAGAAGTAGGAGAGTATGAACACGGAATCGATCTTGAGTGGTTCTTTCTGCGGGCTTTTTCGGGTGCGAGATGGCGGTGCGCATCAGATCTTATTGGAGATGCATGTTTGCTTGAGAGCCTATCAGATTTCGCCTCGGATGGGCGTTCTCCGAGGTCAATCTATCGGGAACCGGGGGGCCTTGACGCCTGATCTGACGTGGTCTCTATACCAGGATCCCCTAGATGTAGAAGTTGTATCAACATACACAATCGGGAATTGGGCTTAGGTCGTGAAGCTGCCCTCGGAAAAATGATGTGCTTGAACCACGGGGTATGTATGCCATGGTAGCCTGTGGCCCGTCCATGTCGATCATGAGTGTCAGATAGACGGGAACCCTTAAGACTGAATGATAAGAGGTTGACCTTGTATCAGTCGTTTGTCGTTCCATTAGAGCCCAACATCCGAGGGACATGCTGATCACTGACTCGTAGCCGAGCCGGCTCCCCTGGTATCTGCCCATTTTCTCGCTGGCAAGAATGCTCGTACAATTTGCTGAAGGATGACTGAGAGTTGCATACGCTCATGACTTCTCAACGCAGTGGCGACAGTCTTAGAGGACGCTGGAGAAACAAGCCCGCTGCAAATCCTCCGTCATCCGTCATGGGCAGGGACAGAGAAGGACAAGCTGAAAGAACAGGATTAGCGAGTAAGTCTGCAAGGCTCCAACGACCGTACGGATTCAAGCCTGAACTACCACCCCACGCCCACAGTAGGACCTTCCATTTGCGGTAAATACAACCGCATGATGACTCGCTCTTGTCCGAGACTTTCAGGTCGGACGACCTTGAGTCCCTTGAGTTGAAGCCAAACGAACGCAATTACCTTGTCCGCTCGACTGCAAGCAAGAAGGAGGCGTACATCATCATTTCAGATGTAGCTATACTCGTCAGGGATTGGCTCCTCCGGCTGTCCACGAGACCCTGCCTCGTTATGGTTAAGGGTCCTTGACAGTTGAAGGAAAGGCTTTTCATGCACGACTGTCACCTGAATTCTCGGAAACAACTGTCAATCATTGCCGGCCGCCGTCAGATGTGTCCCAACCCAAGCACATGTATTATCCAAATCCACTTTGACCAAATCAACACGGACACTGGGCCATAACCCGCAATAACATGCTAGGGCCATCTTCTCAAGAGAGGCTTGCGTAGGTCGACAAGCTGTCAGGCAGGTCTAAGCCAGCCTCTCTTTCCCGGATGACATCCGGCATCACAGTCTTGCTCGCGATTGTGGCTCGAACATAACAGAATCTCAGGTTTGCGGAGACAGTATCATTATCCGCGAGACCAATCGGTCATACTGGAACTCAACAGCTAATGACTCTGGCATCATCGAGGCGTTCCTGTTCAATGGCGAGATTCTGGTTATAGGAATAACGTGCTCATGACGGGCGCCGTCTGGGCCATGCGGACACCTCGCTGACCCCGGCTTGATGCCTCTGACTTGTGTTGTACGTCTCGATGCAGAAGATGTAATGCTGCCGTTGCGAAGTTAGTCATCACACCGTGGGCCGAGTGTATTCGATGGGGGGTTATAACAAGCTCTGCTAATTCAATGACAGGCCGATAATATGCAACTCCTCGAGGGTCAGCAAAGTGTCAGATCCACTCAACCCCAGATTGAGCATCGTGCATGATGGCAGGAAGCTAAGAAAGAACTCCAATCTCAAAGACCCGGTATGCCTTCACAGCGCCGCTATTCGCGACCTGGCCCCGTTGTCGGTGGGCCCAAGTTGGATTCGGCTGAATCGAGCATTCGAACCAATAAGGATAGGATTATCTCGGCCGTACCAGCGTGCGATGGTAGATGTGGTAATCCCAGCTAGGGAGACGTTGGTGGTAGGTAGAAGGAGAAAGGCCGAGAGCGCATCGTGAGAAACAAGTCTGGAGGGCGCAGGATCACATGATGACCTATCACCTGCAAAGCCCTCCATACCATGTCCATACCATGTCCATACACGTCCTTGCCATGCCATGTCACATGCTGCCAGTCTTCAGAACCAGGACGACAGAAATCAGACAACGAAGAAAAGGAAGTGCGAGCCACAGCCAAGCTCGTCCATCATCGGTTGCGACCTCCATGGGGCTCCAAGCCTCCAAACCTCTGGCCTTCTCCGCTTCTGTAGCGTTAATCTACCTCGCATCGGAGGGTGTCTGCAGCTATCAATTTTAGGATAAGAGCACAGGGGCGAGATTCAGCCATGGATGTGCATCCTTGCTCTTCCTACTATGATGTGCGGCGACATTAACTCCAGCCCATGGCTAGGATTGGCCATTGTACCTCTGCTGGTTTTAGACGCTGGGTCAACAACCAGCCCTGACACAAGTACGAACGAACTTCTCTGCGCGCCCATCCTTTGTCCCGCGGGGGAGTAGTAGTTACCCATTCCGGCACTATCTAGTATCATCACCATGCGGAGAGTCATGGAGAATCATTGCCTTGTACCGACTTAGCCAACCGTCCGTGCACTGGAAGCCCATCCTCTTAGGGCCATTTGTGGCCCAGTCGAGTCCCACAGACACTGGATCGCGGCTTCCTTTGAGGCCTCGACTGCTCTATCTCTCGCTCGGTCTGTAAGTGTGGAGTAAGAAGAGGAGACTACTTGGTCTGACGCAAGACTAGATTGAAGAGGGAGAGGTCAACACTATGGAGTAGTGCCGTTTGGCCCGCTGGGCTCGCAATCCTGGCCCACCCTTTGATTATCATAGATGAAGTGTAATTTCTTTTTCTCGCACCGCGTGCCGGCTTATCAGCTCGGAAGATAATGTCCTATCCACCTAGACGTTGGGATTCCTGGCTAGGCCCTTCAAGAGGCGATCGCGGTGATGCTGGAAAAAGGCCGATCCATGGTGATAAACCAATTGGGAGAGGTAGAATTCCACTCGAAGCACTAAAAACTCCTTGGTCCAAAGTCTGCCATGGCCGGTCTGACACGAAAGGCAACGGGTGCGATACCATAGGCGTGCTACCAGCCGTTGGTGTATCTCGGAGGATTTG